TTAATTTAGCAGCTCTTTAATGTACTAGAGTGTATTATATTTTTATATCATTTCAATCAAAAATATGTGAAAAGTACGTAAATAAATTAGTTTAAATTTACTTCGCATAAAGAAGATCAAGAGATGCCAATAAAAGGAGTTTCGGATAGTCCGGATTTCTACTGTAAATCTGAGCTATGAAAGATTAAAAGCTAAAGCCTTCGTAACAGGCCATAAAGAATCTTAACTTGTTAGACAGAGGGAAAAAAATCTGCTTACCAGTGATTTCTCAAATATCTCTGGAGAATCACTTTTCACCTTTACCTGATGTGTTTGGTTCAGATCTATATACAGGTGTTTCAGATCTGCACAAAGTGAAATTTACATCTCTAATCCTTGCGAATACTACGTGACAAAATCTTGGCGAATAGAAGATATCTCGAGAATCCTAAGTGTCATGCTGTTGTGCATGCAAACGCAACGTTCGACTGCAAAATTGTCAAGAAAAGGTGGGAGGGGATATCCTCCCCGCTCTCCTCAATTTTCCTTTCGCTGATTAATGTCTGTATTTTGACTTCGAGATAAAAGCTGTCTTATCACACTCGACTCGTTTATTCACAGCTGTTTAATCCGGAGCTTGAATTCGGTCGGCCAATCAAAAAGGCTGACTCTTTGGGGCACTCAAAAATGACGATTACGTTCGCCGTGGGGCGTTCACAGTTTCATATAATCCATTGTTTCCTATTCCCAAAAATTATGTCGATAAAAGGAATGATAAGGAAATTAGCATGTTTATACTTTTCAAGAATTCGAAGAAAATAGGAATTTCAAAAATCAGTGCCTCAACATGTAAAAATATGTAGAAAATAATTATAGAAAAGGTAAATCAGTTTAAAAAACTCCAGACAGAAAACTCTTTCGTTTTTCGACAATTCTCTCTTCTGATCTTTTCCATTCATGATTGAAACTTATACAGAGGGTGTTCACACATTTTTGTAACGATTTTGCAAAGATTTATATCTAAACAAACCATAAAATCTTATTTTCTAATATGTTCAATCTGATAGCACTTTTGTTGAACTATCATATTACATCTGGATTTACAAAATAAAAGTCCTTTTCTTAAGACATCAAGGTTGATTTTATTCTACTACTCCTTCACAATCGTCCAAAAAATCCATCCAATATTTTGGATGCAGCTTATAAAGAGTTTGTTTTAAAAGTCCAAATGCACAGTAATCCATATCAGACACATCAGGGGGACTTGGAATGACTTTTAGAAAACAGCTTCAACTCCGGTTTCATTTCCCATTTTTTTTCATAAAATAGAGCAGTAGATTTAGAGGTATGGCTTGGAGCCTTATTCCGATGGAACTTAACGCAGTGAAGATTGTTTGCATAAAGAGTTGGAATTTCTTCTTTAGAAGTAGGTTTTTAAAACATAATTATGATAGCAATCCGAATAATTTTGACATTTTTTCTATTTCCCTAAGTTTTCCGTTATAAGAGAATCCAGTAATTACCATAAAATCTTTCCTTGTTTTCTCTGAACCAACATTTTAAGTCTTTTTCTCCCTCTTTTTCGGTAGCAAATCGATCTTTTTCTATCGCAATCAGATAAGTATATCCAAGCCTCATCAATTGTAACTATACATTTCCATTTTTTTTCAGCTGCCAAATAATTTTCATACAGCAATCTGCATATAGTCTTACGCCGAGAAACATGTTTCGGCGTTAGGCGATGAACATCATGTTTTTTTCGTTCTGATTAGCTTTAAATCAAATTTTATAATATTTTATAATATCTTAAATTCAGTTCCGATAGAGATATTTAAAGATTTTGCAATAGCTCTTTGGAGAGGGGCTGGATTTTTCTTTAACCATGAGACGCGACTTTCTGTACGTACCTTTGTTGGGTGTGCATTTTTTGCCTTTTCCCTAGTCCGATGTAAACTTTGACGTTCCTTTCCTTTCATATTAATTATGTCATAATTACAAAAAAAAAAAAAAAAAAAGGAAAAGGAAAATCTACAAAATATATCTTAAGATATATATTCTGATTTCGAAAGAAAAAATAACTTGTTAATACTACATAAAGGCAAAGCATATTAAAACTTACAATTTTCGATTTTCTTTTCCTTTCTTTTCCTAGGAGATAACACAACTACTTTTTCTATTAAATAAATTAATATACATATATCTATACACCACTGGTGTATATATATATATATATATATATATATATATATATATATTATATCGATATTGTTGCCTTGCCGAGAAGTAAGATCTGAGCTAATTGAATGAGAAATATATCCCAAATGAAAATTCGAGGAAATAAGTTTAAATTAAAAGCAACAAAAATGTGTATAATTTAATTTGCCGTATAAGGAAATCGTGTGGTGTCCACATCAGATATTTTAATTATGGCAATTAACGGGTTTTTGCCTAAAAGCAGAAATACCTTCGTAAAACATTTTCTAAGGGATTTCTAATATTCATTTCATAGGTAAAGAAAACGGTGAAAACGCCAGACCGTTCGCCAGTATTTGAACACAGGGCGAATATCTTATTGTTTAAAGGTGTTATCCAACTATCCACTGGCATATAAAACACTTTATGAATTTCACTCAATGCTGCAAAAGATGGCACATATTTTCTGTTTGGAAGCGCTGATGTATAACATAACGAAATATTTCAACTTTCTTCAGAAGACCGAAGCATACTTAATGCATACTTATCTACTTAAATGCTTATTTATATAATAAGCATGTAATAATTTTTAAAGCGTTTCGGAATTTTAAATTTCTTAAATCGTAAATTTTGTAAAAAATGTTTTGTAAATTTTGTAAATATGTGCGGCAGAATCTGGCAATAAGCTCTTTAATGGTCTTCGTGCATGTCTCGAGCATGCTCTCGTGGTGTAACGGTAGCACACTCAGCGCGTATTCAAGACGTTGAGGTTCGAATCCCGGCAAGGGCATTGCTCATTTTTCATGTACTCCTGCTTCAAAATAACCTAATGACTCTACAGTGACGGGCGAATTAAAAAAACTGGTGGATGATAATTCGTCACCACTAGAATCTGGCGATTGGGCCCCCTCATCCTCAGTCGTCCTTTAAAAGGGGGAGTCTATAAGGCATTTTCTCCTGCTTCCAGTATGCCTTCGTGGTGTAATGGTAGCACACTCAGCACGTATTCGAGAGGTCAAGGTTCGAATCCCAGCGATGACATTGCTCAATTTTCATGTACTTCTGCTTCAAAATAACCTAATGACTCTACAACTGTTCTGGCAACTTACTCTAGAGATGATCGAGTAACTTTGAGAAATTTTCGGACTGCCTTCTCCGGACCTGAATTCTTTTCACTTCCGGTTGTGATGAATCTTGAAAGATTGTGTTTATGGAGAAAGTATACGAACTATGCCTGAACTGAAAGCAGGCATAACACTTCATGTTGCTGGCAACTGATCCAGAAACTCTTCGTTACTGTTGAACACGCTGTAACACTCTTTGGCTGTGTGATTGACGCAAATGAAATGCATAGTTTGCAAATGCTGCGGTGGAATTAAGTTATATGTTTCAATTTGCGTTTTTTAGTTTTTCATGCCCCCTTTCTGACTTGGTGGTTGAAATTTGATCTATTATTTTTTATTCCAGTTTTCTTTTCCCCGTGGTCCATATAATGTATATACTAAGTTTCAACGAAATAGATCTACCAGAACGTGTTCTATACAGGTCTAAATAGGGCAATTTTAATTCTAATCATCCTGTATACTGGTAAGATCGCGCATACATATTTGTACTGATGGTCCCGAGAAACCCCAGAAGGAGAGTTATATTAAAATAACAATTTCTGTATTCATTAAAATATAATTCGAATTTATAAATTGTAAAGATTTCAACAGCAAAAAAATTTCCTAAAGTTTTCTTTATACAAATCTGAAACAAACAGCTTAAAGGTGCACGTGCCGCATTTTAACTTCCCCCAAATTGCATATGCAGCATAAAAAGGGGGAGTTATGAAACAAATAACCTTGGAATTTGAATCTCACTCCAAGAATACACCGTTATCGTACATTCCACGGGGAAAGCGATCTTTTGCCAAAATGACAACAAATATATCACAAGATAGACTCGTGGCTCAGGACAGATGACTTACTAAATTATGATCAGTTTCCAAAGTATTGTGAGATAATTTCCAAAACCCTTTTATTCATTCCCTATATCTTGATAACGGAACTAAGCTAGGCAGTTTATATCGCTGACATCAGTCCAGAAAAGTGAGTAGATTAGATTAAAGTCTTTAGAGAAATGATATCTCCCAAGTGGTGATGCAACCATGACCATCGCTTTGCATTAAACTGCGTATAATTAATTTCTTGACAAGATGCTTCGCGAAGAACCGTAGACAGATACAGTATGCCTCAAAATGACAAACAGTATCATGACTTCCTTTCTATAATACAGAATTAAAAGTAGTAGTGAGAAATCATTTGGGGGAAAACCCGAGAGCTGAACCAGAAATAGCATTTATTCCAAATGAAACACCCAAAAGCTGTTTGCATTATGTAAACGGAACGAATGACAGTTATAAGGAAAAGAAATGAACATTTTGAAGAATGTAAAAGAGGAAAAAGACAATATCTCCACATCTCGGTTTAAAAAAATAAGGAAGGTTAGTGAACGCATTGAACTGGAAACAGACTTACGAAATCAAACAAAAGGTATAGAAGCTGAAGAATACGCAATAAAGTACAAAAATAAGTTAACTTTATTAATCACGGTACTCAATTATTAAAAACGTTTTCCAGGTTGTCCTGAAGCGTATTCGTAATAAATTATACATAAATTTATACAAAAATACCATACTGATATATAAGCAGAAATACACGTGCTGAATAAACTAGTTTAAAAAAATGATAGGCTGAGAATTTTCAACTAATGAAATTCTCAGCCTATAATTTTTTTAGCCCAAAAGGATGTTAGTCTGTAAGGTATTTCTCCCGCCTTCTTAGCGTGCCTTCGTGGTGTAGTGGTCAGCACACCGAACCGATATTTCGGAGGTCCGTGGTTCGATTCCCGGCGAAGCCGTTGCTAATTTTTCATCTCTTCTGCTTCCAAAATTACCTAATGTCTCTACAAGTCTCGAATATTAGTCTCGAAAGAGCCTTTTTCGTTGAATCACTTTAAATGGCATATTACTTTTCAAATTGTTGTCATTAAATATTATCGTCCTCTATTATATTTAGAAAAATTAAATAATGAAGAATCTGCACAAATGTATGCATGTTTCTCACATTGTTAAAAAGAAACGCTACCTAAAGCAGTCCAATACTGAATAATGTAATCCTCCACCCGAATATCTCTGAAAGCCCGAATTTTGAATTTGTTTTGTAGTCTATTTCATATTTTGTAAGACTTTAACGAATTTTTGATTAAAAGTTTTGTAAAGCCTTATTAGTAAGAAAACTGAACATTGGTATACTGAGAAAGAATTAAAAAAAAAAAAAAAAAAAAAAAAAAAAAAAAAAACCACCAAGAAAAATGCATGCCAACATTTAACAGCGAGTACGGAATTCTAAACGCATACTGCTATGGAGCTTTTAAAATTTTTCTAATTTTAGTGCTGAATTTTATATGGCGTAAGTGCGAAGAAAATGATGCTTAATAATAAAGCTAAAAGGACAAGAAAAAATGTGTTAGCAAGAGTGAGTACAACAGTAGTTTGAGTAGACTGCGAGCTCAGCGACAGCGTAAAAAAGCTTTAACAAACCCTTTCGGGCAATCGTTAAAATCTGAAACCATTCACTGAAACCATTTAGATTTTTGTTTTTATTTTTGTCTTTTTAGTTTTATTAGTGATAATATTCTAGATCCAAATTTAAGTTTAAAATTATACAGAAAGAAACTGATATAATTTTGATTTCCTATCACTATTACCATTATCAGAAACGAATTTGATTTTTTGATTTTTTGAATCGAAATAAACTTCTGCTTTCCTGGCATCAAAATGCTTGAACTTTTAATTAATTTTAATTAGGTTTTTATTTTACTTTTTTGAGTAATTTTTGTACGGCGATGGAAATAAATTACAGTACTTTTATAAAAAATCACTTCACTTGTATTAAGGTGACTGTACCGTTATATAGATGAAGGGATTTCCCATAATATTAATGTATCCTCTCTTTAATGTATCAATCAAGAAATGAAACTAAACCTTAGTTGCAGAGTTCTTCCCTAAAACTACTGCCAGTATAGCGAAGATTCAAACCCAAGCAATTGACTCAAATAATTTCTGGTACTTATATACAGTGACGCCGTTTTGAAGATTTGTTTTATTGTACGCTGGGCAACATTTACAACTTCCACTCCATATGATGGCACCAATCCAGCATCTTCTGCTCTTTTTCGTTATCTCACTCTACCCCAAAATTCAAAATCTTCTATAAAATCGCTAACATGAATTTCATTTTAAACTTCCATTAAAAATGAAATATAATTCATCAAGAATAATAGATTTCATTAACAGTAAACAACACGTTTTATAACTAATATTATACGCTTTTTTTCATTTTCATTTACTCTGGTCAAAGAGATTAGAATTCTATGAAAATCTTGCTAAACAATGCACAACAACCTCTGCTATTCCTATAGGAGTATCTAACCTCACACGCATAACGAAAAAAAAAAACTGGAGCCGAAACAAATAACAAATAATGTATTTGATTACTTACGTTTCTCAGAAGTAATGTCTTAATCTCCTTCATCCTGAAATTAGAAAAAAGAAAGAAATGTAAATTACAAAAGAATTTTTGTAAAAAATAAAACACACCTTGGAACAAAAATATTTATATTTCTAGACGTCAGAAAAGTTTGTTCATAATAAACTGTACATGTATTTCTGTATTTTGTTCTACATACAATAAATTCTTTATAATTTCTCTCTTTTAACTTATACTGTAAGAAATTATCGCATTTCTTCCATACATGCTTCAGCTGGAAGTGAAAGGTAGGTGGTTCAAATCCAGGAGAGAGCATAGTTGATTTTTCATGGTTTTTGCTTGAGAAAACCTAAAAGTATCTAAAACGGCGATTGAACTAAAATGCGGTGAGCGATAATTCGTCACCACCGGAATTTAGCCAACTGAAAGTTTCATGCTCCTATCTAGTCACCGTTTAAGAGGGGGAGAATATAAGGAATTATCACATGTGTTTGGTTTTGAAGTATAAAGTGTAAATACATCCAGCTAACAAGAGGAAGATCCGTGGTTCGAATCTTGTCGGAAGGAATTTAGATAGCTGATTTTTCCTAGTTTCTGCTTGAAAAAACCTAAGAGTGTCCAAAACGGCGCCTGAACTAAAATGTAGTGGACGATAATTCGTGACCACCAGGATTTAGCCAACTGGGTCCCATGCGCCTCTCTAGCCATCGTTTAAGAGGGGAAGAATATAAGGAATTATCACATGTGCCGGTTTTCGAGGTATAAAGGTTCCACGGTTCTTATAAGCTAACAAGCGGATGATCTGTGGTTCGAATCTCGTCGAAACGAATTTAAATAGTTGATTTTTTCCTGATTTCTGCTTGAGAAAACCTAAGCGTCTCTAAACGTCATCTCATTTGAATTAAAATGAGGTGGACGAAGATTCAATACCACCAGAGTTTAGCCGACTGAGTTTCATGCTTCTCTCTAGTCGTCGTTTAAGAGGGGAAGAATGTAAGGCATTATCACATGTGTCTGTTTTCTAGGTATAAAAAGTTTCACGGTTCGTATAAACTAACAAGTGGAAGATCCGTGGTTCAAATTTAGTCGAAAGGTAATATATTTTTCATGTTTCTTGCTCGCGAAAGCCCAGTATCTTTTACAATATATACCTAGTAAAAAGCTTTGAAATAATTTGAAGTTTAGATTTTTGTAACCTTAGAATGATACAAGCTGGTTATACGTTCCGCTCCTTACATAACACGAACATTTGGGGAAAAATGTCTCACGATCTTTTTTTCTTCAAAAAGGACGTAATTGTGTACATTTATTTACAACAGCTAAATGGCTAGAATTCAGATAAAAATAATGCACAGTTCCTTGAACATAATAAGGCATTATACACTGAAAAGAAGAGAGACTTCCAACTTAAAAGAAAAAGGGTTAATTTTATGGGAGAAAAAAATCCTCCCAATTCAACTCAAATTTAAACAGCTGGATCTTTAGAAAAATATTTCAGAATAAACTTACGGGCAATTAAGCGGCTTTTTCATGACCATCCCTAAAACATAATTCAGAAAGAAATGCTGCTAGAGTAAAAACTAATCAGTTTACACTTATAGTGCTAACACGGGATTTATGATACTGTCGTAAAAATGGAAAAGATACAGGTGGTTTGTTCTAATACATTTTACGCATCGCATGGCAAATAAACTTTAAAAACCGGTTTTTGTGGGCAGTTTCGTCTTAAAAAATCTGTCTTTAGCATACTGAAAGAGTAAAAACCGGTAGCGTTTAACTAATTACCCATGTAATTAACAAGTTTTTATTTTCTTTCACGATTCAATGGGCTTCATAAATGCAATACAAGATGATGCACAAAAAACTGCGCGACTTAGAATTAAATGATACGATATAACATATTCTCAGCAGAGAAACGTTAATTCAAAATGCGACACAGAAAGAAATTTCTTCCTAATTTTTACAGGCTTGGGAGATTTTTAAACACGCTACCTTCACCACATTTAAAAAATACGTTAAATACTTGATAGAGGTAAGACATAAATACAACTAAGTAATTCTCCGATGAATATGCTTTTTTAATGACACTGCAAACCTTTTTATTTATTCTAACTATTGACGCTATTCCCTAAAATATTATACTGAATTTTTCTAAAATATTAAAAAGCGAAATTAAGATATCTAGTCATATAATTATTCCATAACGCAAAATTTCATAAATATGAAATAAAAAAATGAAGGCAAAGAATGTAATGCGACGGTTCAATACTTGCGCCTTAATTTTTTAAATCGTTAGGTACGGCAGTTTTACATAATTAAACAAAATATTTTGATTTTAATCTACAAAAATGTATATGCAAATATGAAAAGGCGGATAGTGAAATTTATTTTCTTTCTATTATTGTAACAATGACACTTTACTCCTATCTAATAAGCAACTATCGGCACATGATTTTGATCTGAATTATCATTGAGTTATTAGAAATGAATACAAAAGGAAAGGGAATTTCAATTATCAAAAATAAATGGCAAATGAAACAATCAATATGCACGATAACAGCATGTAATTAACTATACAAAATTTCCCAGTAACCAAATGCATTTTCGGACATTATTCAGTAAAAAAGAAAGTTGTTAAACATTTACATTATTTCTAATCATGTATTTCATTTTAAGGTCAGATTTATGTCTCAACATTTCTTATTTGCATAGTCAAAAGTTAAAAACCCAAAATACCACCAATGTACACGCAAATATAGCGTAATAAATATTTTTTTATTAATTACATTAATGATATACATTTTAATAAAAAATAATTAAAATTATGGAATTATTATTATAAATACATATTTTTTTAAAAAATAGCTCAGTTTCTTACACTGATAAGCAACATATTGAAAAAGCAATAAAATTCTTTTGTGGCGTGGCCTGGTAGCATAGCCACCGAAACGATTAATGATGCACGAATTCAATTTCCAGACTGCGTAGATGATTTGATAGCATAGCATATGGCATGGAAAAAGGAAAAACCAGGATATAGAGGTTTAAAATAACCTATCACTTAACACATATAAGGTTTCGAAAATGAATTATCTATAACATTTCTGACGAAGGCACCATAATTATCACGAAATTTAAGGAATCGTTTGTAAATATTGATATCTGTACTTATATTAACTTTTGAAGGGAAATTTAATTTCAATATATATATATACTATATATACTATATATACACTGGTGTGCAAAAATTAAGGACGAAGTCGAAAAATTAGCATATCAGCTGAACGAAGAGGCAAAGCGGACAGAAAGACCAATCAGGAGATTAAGTAAGGTGATGTACGGTAGCATATGCGCAGATATGCAGGTAGACGTAATGGGGGAGTGTCTGAGTAGTATAAAGCATGTTGTCGGTGTAAGATCAGTATTTCTGGCAAAGAGATTGCACGCCATATAGCAGATAAAATCACACCGAGTTGCTGCCTCAGCGAGAAATGGCGAATAATCAATCTGTTAGACGACATCTGGATGCTTTTACCCGAAGTCGAATCATTGGGAAGTTGGAGGAAGGCCGCAGTGTGACAAGTGTGGCTGCAGAGTTCGGAATTGCTCACAGCATCGTTTCACGACTTTGAAGACAATTTCAAACTACAGGAACAGCTATCCGGGGGTTTAGTAGTGGTCGTCCACGAGGAACCACACCCGCAGATGACCGGATATTGCCTTACAGGCCAGAAGAAACAGGCGGCAGACAGCGGGAGAAATCGCTAGACACACGACACAGGCGACTGGACGACCGATATCGCGTTTTACCGTGGCCAGAAGACTGCACGGTGGTGGTCTGCACGACGCCCTGTACGGTGTGTACCTCTAACGCCTGCCCATCGGAGAAGGCGTTCTCTGTGGTGCCGGCAATACCGGAATTGGAGAGACAATGAATGGGGACGAGTACTCTTTACAGATGAGAGCAGATTCAGTCTGAGTAGCGATTCTCATCGCATACTCATCTGGAGAGAGCGGGGAAGCCGCAATCATCCCTCGAACATCATTGAAACGGACAGGTATGGAGGTGGCGGTGTTCTCGTTTGGGGAGGCATCATGCTTGGTAGTCGTACAGACCTTCACAACTTCGACGCAGGTTCGGTCAACGGGACCCGTTATTGTAACGAGATTCTTCTTCTATATGTGCGTCTTTTTAGAGGCGCTATGGGTCCGCAGTTCCTTTTCACGGACAACAATGCACCATGTCATCGCACAGTAGCTGTCGAACAGCTCTTAGAGAGTGAGGATATTGAACGTATGGATTGGCCGGCACGATCTCCGGGTCTCAATCCCATCGAGCATGTATGGGATTTTCTAGGCAGACGCTTGGCAGCTCGTACCTTACCACCAGTAACGATTCCGGAGCTTCGATTGGCGCTGCAAGACGAATGGGCAGCAATGCCTCAACAACTCATTGACACCCTCATTCTCAGCATGGGCAGACGCTGTGAAACCTGCCTAGCAGTCAGGGAAGATCATATCCCCTATTAAAGACCGGATGTTTCTTGCTGGACACCCATCACAGGGATGTTTCGGCCTTCAGTCGCATTGCGCTTCATGCTACTTTTTCAATAAAGCTTCTTTTTATCGCTCTGATTTCTCTTTTAGTAAGTGTTGCTTACATTACTCATGTCCTTACGTATTGGGGATCTTACGGTATTAAATGTGTTGATTTGGAAAGCTTTTGTACAAAGTTATATTGAAAAAACCGTCTCGTTCTTAATTTTTGCACACCAGTGTATATATATATATATATATATGTGTGTGTGTGTGTGAAAAAATTAAAAAATTACTATATGAATTTTCACTGAACCTGTTAGAAATAAGTAAGAATTAAAAAGAAATTAACGTTACCATATATTGAAATGAAGATAAAAACCTCTACAAAATGTATTTTTTCACTTTCCATATTGAATGTTGAGAGGTTCGAATTACGAAGTGATGCATAAAAAGTGTCTACGAGTGTAAGAAGTATCGTATGGCATAGCTAGATTTATATAGTGTTGA